TCTTTAAATATTAATATTTGTAAATAATACCTGAACATCTGCTAGCTAGAACAAGGTCACTGACATGGAGATAACTCCCTAAGGGACAAAACAAATGCTGTCTATTTTAGCTTGTGGAGGCTACTTTGAACATCAGCAAAGCAAAAAACTTTGTCATTACCACCGTACCCAATAACCTGTCTCTAACAGGCTGAGAGCAGGCTGGACAACCACACTTATGGGGCTGTTAATAACACAACTTAGACAACATTTGCTTGCTCACTTGCTCTTTACAAAGATACTTTTCCTTGAAAAACCCTTCATGTTTCTCTAATGTTTTTCTTCCATTTCACCTTGCATAACCCCAGCCTGCTCTGTCCAGTGGTCACAGCTGCGAGGGGCTGGCAGATTTGCTGACTGTCCTCTGCAGACCAGCAAGAGTCACCGCGACCACCATAAAGTAGCTACAGACCCGATCCCTTTTTTAGCTTAAACTTCAGTGGTGAAGTGGTCCACCAAAAATGTTGAAGGTTAACAGCTGTCCATTATTTCACCGAGCTTGAATCATCTTATTTATAGTACTGAGTTTCTTTGTAGTCTAATGTCACTCACAATTCCCTTATGATATTATTTCTGTTTTCCAGAGTTGAGTTGCCCTTCCCACCTGCACCATAATATCACAGGCCCAATGCAACACCATGGGGCTGGACTCTCCATTAGACCATGGTCCTTGAACTGCTCTCAGAGAGCAGAGAGGGTCTTAGGGCAGCAACTAGTCACAGTCACACATGTCCTGCAGCCTCCTCTACTCTGCTTCCACAGAACAAAAGCCTTTTTATCCTATGCAGGTCAGACCACAACAGTTTGACAGGCATCGCTGCAGCAAAAGCCTGGAAGGGCTCACAGTGCATAGCAAATCCCTGTGACTGCCTGATGGATAACATTACCGACAAAATATAAGGATCTAAAACCACACTGCATAATTCTGCAGCTGTGCAAGAACCCGTAGAACCCGAGCTATCTCTGTGCCTGAGTTCTGCTTTCCAAGGCTGGATCCTCAACAAAGCTGTTGCCATGTTTTGTTCCTTATCACGTGCAAATTCAGCACAACTTTGCTAATGTCCCACCTTTGTCCAAGGAGCTGTGCAAGATAAAGAGGTTTTGAGCAAAAATTAAAAAAAAAACCCTTTAAAAATAAAGTCACCTTCTCAGTGAAGAATGTTAGGATATTTCTCAGATTTTTTAAATGTTACTCCAAGTTTTTAGGCTCAGGGAGTATCTTCATGCTGCAATGGGAGGTAGCATGGGAAAACAAGACAAGAGGGAGATTAAAATGAAGTTGCATTAGCACTGGCAGAGTAATCATGTAATTATGTGTATCTACTTGGTGTGAACTGTGCACAAAGGTGTTCTTCATGGGCTCTGTGACACAGACAAAAATAGTAAAAAATTGGTCTGTTTACAGAAGTGCAGTGCAGTGGTGACACTGGACATCAAAACCTAAGCCATCAGCACAAGAGAACAAAACCCCTCAGCTTTCCCAAACAGCACAGGTATCATGCAGTCATACATCAGACATCATTAGACATACAGCCAGCTAGGAAAAGGAAAAAAAAAAAATCACAGTGGCCCCCCAGCTATCTCCAACCGAGTGGAGGAGTCCAAATCTCCACCCAGAGAAGCTCTGTCATCCCACTATATCAGACCCAGGAAACAGCAGGTCTTTTGACTAGACTGGTAAGAGCTGCACGGAGGAGAGTTCGTCACTTCCAGTCTGCCCACATCAGGCATTCAGAAGTCATCAGCCAAGCTCCAAAAACTGAGGTTGGCTAAAAGAACCCCCACCAAAAACAAAATAAAAAAACCCCTGAAAACCTAACATAGCACCTTAAACTTTAATAGTTTGGGTTTCTAAGATTTTTGAGGTATTTGCTTTGAGGTTTTTCTCTGCTACTCAGAAGACTAGAAAGATTCCCTCTCTGACATTGACACTGATTTTTGCCTGCCAAAGGGAAAGCCTGATCCTTCCCCTTTGGGACAAACAGTTTGTCACTGACCTTACTGGCTGGGAAAATCACTTGCTGTTAAAACCAACTGTATTCAACCTAGAGTCACCAAGACAAATTAGGATCCCATAGCTGCACTCCCTCTCTAAGCTGCCTATGTTTCTCTGCTCGCTCTATTCCCTCGAATTTTAATACAACAAAACATGGTTTGGATGGGCACCCTCAGTGAGACTAGTTTAATAGTGATTGCTGTCTCAGGAGCTGGCAAAAGCAAGCATTCCGGATTCTCCTCCTTCCCACTTCCATAACCTACAAGCTGTGCACAGTCCTGTCCACTCAGTGCCTGCAACTGCATATGATGTATGTTGTACCTGTCCTAGGGGCTACCAGCCTGGGGTCTGGTGTACTTTCACATCTGAGCCTGCCTCTGCACTTTGCTTCTCCCCTCTTGTTTGCTCCAGGAGAGTTACTAGAGCGAGAACGCTCACCTCCCAACGTGATCGAAGGTGAGCAGGGATGACCTTCAGCACCAGAAACACCACCTTCTCTTTTCTGAGAGAAAAGGAAAAATTCCAGCACAGGCACTAGCCTCACAGTAAGGAGTTAAAATGGTCAGAGGAAAATATATTTGCAGCCAGATGATATGATAGTGATTCCTGCTTGAATGTAAGAGAAGAATAAAGTCAAGAAAAAGTTACTGCTCCAGAAGCAGCCAAAGGAGCTTTCTACACTGCTCTCTTTTAATGCCTTGGGGAGGGAAGAGGAGGACAAAGATCCTCAGAATGGGAATTAAGGGAGACTGAGCTTGTAGCATACCTGGTATTTAGGGACATATGTACACTTTAGAGAACTCACTGAACGGAGCATGGTACCTACTTCTCAGCATCTAGTCTTCTGTTAGGAAAGATGAAGCAAACCAAATCAGCAATCCATTTCACATGCGTGAAACTATGCAACCTCCTATCCCCCTCTTCAGAAGACAACATACAGTCTAGTGACACAAACCAATAAAGTGTTGATCCCATCACTGGAAGTGTTCAAGGTCAAGTTGGATGGAGCTTTGAGCAATCTGATCTACTGAAAGATATCCCTGCCCATGGGAAGTGGGTAGACTAGATGATCTTCAAAGGTCTCTTCTAACCCAAACCATTTTGTGATTCTTTAGTATAGCAAGGAGATACCCATCTGGAGCAGGTGAGGGGCTCGAGAGCATCTCATTCAGCATCACTTTTACAGGCAGTTCAAAAAGGAGCAGGCATGTCCAGTGCCTCCAGAGCCAGCTCCCAGACCACAGCTCTGAGCCTCAGCTGCGTGCCTGGGTTTGTCAGATGTGCTCACACCAACCCCAGGGAGATTTGCCTGTATTCCACCCAGAGGACAATTTAAAACAAACTCTTCAACCCTAGAAACAGCAGATCAACTTTACCACTGATTATTGAAAGAGTTACCTCCAGCGGTGCCCTGGTTTTGCTAGGATAATTTGCTTCTTAGTAGCTAGAAAGCACTGTGTTTTGGTTTCAGTATGGGATTTATTATGAGAAGAATGTTGATAACATACAAGGACATCATGCTTGGGTAGTTTGCAAGTGCAAAGGATTGGGAGGGGGGAAGCCCTCCCAGTCACACCAGGAATGGGCAGGTCAGAGAAGCTCTGTTCTGTAGACTTTGTGTAAAATGCAAAATACATGTGTGACCCACCAGACAGGGAGAAGTTGCACTTCATCCTAGAAGGGCAATTGACAAAGGATGCAGGATCAGTCATTCAGCAGTAACTGCAGAAAACTGTCCTTCGCTCTGGAGGGGCTTGGTTATTGATCTAATCAGAAGAGAGGTTTCCACAATGTTTGTCCTGGTTTTCACCTGGGATAGAACTAGTTTTCTTCTTGGTAGCTAGAATAGCACAGTGTTCTGGTTTCAGCCTAGGATTTGGTATGAGAAGAATGTTGGTAATACACTGATGTTTTCAATTGTTGCTGGAAGACGAATTTTCCAGCTTCCCTGTGTTTTGCTAGTCTGCAGGTGCAAAGGACCAGGAGAGGGGAATATTAAAATTAGCAAATCCAGATTGGCATTTGGATATGCCAATGGGATATTCCATATCATATAATATCATGTTCAGTATATTAATGAGGGTCTCTTGGGATCTCTCTCTTGCTCTCTTGGGCTCTCACTCTTCTGGGACTGCAGTTTCAGTTTCAGGATTGTTGCTCCTCCAAGATCATTATCTAGGAATGGGCTGGGCTTGGCTGGTGGGTGGTGAGCAATTTCCCTGCATATCATGCATTTGCATATTTTATTATTACTATTATTACCATTCTTATTGCCATTATTATTTTAAGATTTATTTTATTTCAATCATAAAATTGTCTTATCTCATCCTACAGGTCTGCTTACTTTTAACCCTCCAACTCTCTCCCCTATTCCCTGGGGAGGGTGAGAGTGAGCAAGTGCCTGTTGGATGCTTGGCTGCTAGCCAAGCTAAAACCACCAGCAGTATAATTTTTATTCAGGTGCTCTCTTACTTCTGCAGTTGTGAGTCTAGAAAGATCAGGCGAGAACATTCCTGTAACTAAGTGTGAGAGAAGACAAAACTGCAGGTGACAGAGGCCTCCCCTTCCCTCCTGCTCTTTTGGTTGCTTTAGAGAGTTTGAGACAAGATTTCACCTGGACAAAAATACTCCATTTTCTCCTAGCAAGGAGAAGATGTTCTCAACAGAGTGAAACACTTACTGGGAGGGTCCATCCTGAGCTCTGGGGAACACTGGCCAAAAAAAGAGCCAACTTCAGTAACAGAAAGACATGTAAGAGCTGCACAGAGGGCTATGAGGTGAGGATGATACCTCTCTGAATTGCCTCCACTGTCCTCTAAGACCACCCAAGTCCTTTCCCTTCACACTGGTACATCTGGCCAGAGGCTTTTTTTTTTTTTTAATCACCTAATTAGGTGATTAATTAGATAATTACATTATTTTTAATTAAATGAACATGAAATCAATAAAATAATTTTATTCTCACCTCCAAAAGCTGGCCGCATGGTGAAGTCATGGTTGTCTACTCTGAGAAGCCGCTCTGTCTTTCCTCTCCAGGTTTTGGTCACGTCATGATTCTTCTTATAGACGTAGCTGCAAAAGACAGCAATAGCGTTGGTCTGACATCTCCATGCCCCAGCATCACTCTGCAGCCAACTTCTGACGGCCCAATTTCAGAGCAGCAGGACAGCATGGCTCCAAGGGAGGCACAAGGCTGAGAGCACAGCATCTCATAGAGGAGCTGGGATGCAGCTCTGAGTCCTCAGCACAAGAAAGATGGGGACCTGCTGGAGAAGGTCCAGAGGAGGGCCACAAAAATGACCAGAGGAATAGAATACCTCTCTTATGAGGACAGGCTGAGAGAGTAGGGGTTGTTCAGCCCAAAGAAGAGAAGGCTCTGGGAAGACCTTATTGTGGTCTTTCAGTACCTGAAGGGAGCCTATAAGAAAGATGGGGACAGACTTTTTAGCAGGGCTTGTAGTGGTAAGGCAAGGGGCATTGGTTTTAACCTAAAAGAAGGTAGATTTAGACTAGATATAAGGAAGAAATTTTTTACATTGAGGGAGATGAAACACTGGAACAGGTTGCCCAGAGAGGTGGTAGATGCCCCATCCCTGGAAACATTAAAGGCCAGGTTGGATGGAGCTTTGAGCAGCCTGACCCAGTTGAAGATGTTCCTGCTTACTGTGGGGGGGTTGGACTAGACAACCTTTAAATGTCCCTTCCAACCAAAACCATTCTATGATTCTATGCAGTAAATGTCTCAGAGCAAGCAACAGTAGAAGCAGCTGACTGCCCCAGACGTTACCTGGCCAGGATTTGGCCAGATACCAAGGCAACATTATCATGAGAAAGCTTTTTTCAGTGGTAGTCACGCAATGTCATATGCTATTCTGAGACTGCCTATCAGCCCCATGAACACAAGCTCACTACCAGCAGTTTGTGTGGACAGAGGGCTGGCTTTGTCTTCTGACTTTGAACAATGACAAAACCATCCATTTCCCTCCACAGCAGCAGGAAAAGAGGGGTTTTATCAAAAGAAGTTGGCAAGATCTGCAATCCTTCACTTTTCTGAATATTAAGGGAAGAAAAACTTTTTATTTATGAGATTATATGACAACAGTACAACAAGGATGACAACAAGCGGGTGACAGAGCACTGGAACAAGCTGCCCAGGGAGGTTGTGGAGTCTCCTTCTCTGGAGACATTCAAAACCCGCCTGGACACCTTTCTATGTGATCTCATTTAGGTTCCTGCTCCGGCAGGGAGATTGGACTAGATGATCTTTCGAGGTCCCTTCCAATCCCTGAGATTCTGTGAAGCCCCTGGGAAAAGTGCAAGAAAGTCACTAAAATTGCATAAGGGGATAACTAAACAGCAGACAGACAGATACTGCGCACACTTCTGGAAGAAAATCGAGATCAGCATCCCTGGCCATTCCTCAGTGGTGCAGGAAGGACTTGGACCATTAAGGTTCCTCTATCCCTTTGCTCTGGGCAAAAGATCTCACAAAGTTATAAATATTGCTGCAATTAGCTGTTTGTCAGCAACTTCCTAAAAACAATAATACTAAATAGAAAGAACTTTACACAAAAGATTTTCAGATCCATTTACCTGTGCGCAAGAAATATTACTGACAGTATAGAACAAAAAATCTTGGAGGAAAAATAAAGGGACTGCTCTAATAGATACGAAAATAAGGGTGAATTAGGCTTAAAATCTTGATATTTTTGTATCTAATAGATAAGAATAATAGATTTTGTATCTAATAGACATGAAAATAAGGGTGAATTAGGCTTAAAATCTTGGTCAAAAATTCAGAGCTTACAAAACAATCACCACAATCATAAGTGTGGCTGTGGAAAGGGGTGTGCTTAAGGGTCAAAATACAAAGCATGATGAGTATGAATAAAGGGAGTATAAACAGTAAATCAGAAGAAAACTTTCCTATCAGAGCACCCAACTCAGAAAAGATAAGATAAAACCTAAGGGGTGCAAATAGCTGCTGCTATTTACTTTAATAAGGTGGTGAAAAGGAAGCACAGAATTTAAAAAAACTGTATCAAATGAATGTTTTGAAGGAATATATGCCCTTGTGCATCAGGGCACATGCTACATAGGAAAATTTGGATCCCCCCCAGCTCCCTTTGGGCTCCTGATTTAATTGGGATGTCAGAGCATCTCTCTCCCTGCTGGTTATAAAAAAAGACCCAGCTGGATGGAACAAGTGCACTCCCAACACCGCTGCATTAACAGTTACCTAAAAGCAGGAGCAGAAACCCAAGGACAGCCACTAATGACAGTGGTTGGAGACAAAAGTTTAGTTTTTAACTGCTTGCTGCAGGACAAGGTTGTGTTTCTTTGCAAAGGTTAGGGCTGCTGACAAAGCACTCCACTCCACAATCCACAATACTGCCTCTGCACCTGAAAAGCTGGAAGTGGAGAAGGATGATCTTCCTGTGTCTGCTTGACTTTAACTGTCAGGGAAAGGCCTAAGTACCAGTGAATGTTCAATCAAATCTCTCTACTCAAAGAATGGGAAAAAAAAAATCAAATTAAAAATCCAATAAAACTTTGGATTACATGCTGTATGAGGAAAACTCTGACAGTGTTACAATATCACCTTGTAAATCAATGGCACAACCTCACTGAAATGCCTCATCAATTCATTTAAAAATCATCAAATAGCAAATAGCACACAGGAGAGTTGCAGAGAATAAGTCTGTGGCTGAAGAGGCTTCAGAGGGCCAGCTGGGGACACCAGTGCTGCCTTAGGAAGAAAACAGTGGTTTTCAGGAGTGTCCTGAGCCAGGAGTTGCATTTTAATAGCCAGAATTTAATCATCAGTTCATGTGCAATCCTTCAGGTACACAAGAGAGGATTCAGAATTTACAGACAGAGGTCTGCCATTTAATTTTTAATCAATTCAATCCATTTACAAAGATTTTGTATAGAGCTATTTTTAATCACAGGCAGCCTACACAGCCTTTGAAATGTGTAATAATATTTTTGCCAATGTAATCCAAAAGCAAGACCAAGTTTGTTTGTAAAAAACCCATTCTTTATAACAGTAAGTGACATCAGCTGTGCTGGTATCTTCTGATCCTCTCCGGTGGGCATCCTGTGCCACCCTCACCACCGTTTGCATGGAAAGTATCTCATTATCTGCAGCAAAGGTGAACGCAGCCACCAGTGCCTTTGCAGAGCTGAGGGATGCACTCAACACTCCTGCCCATTTACAGACAATCTGGTCACTGGTATCTCATAAATCTTCCCTCATGTACTCATGGGCTTTAGCACTTGTGATTATAGATTTGTCAGGGTTTCTTTCAGCTTTACACACTCTCTGCAATTCACCACTATTCATTCAAAGTCACCCATCTCCCTTTCTCTTTTTTTACCATGTTTTTCATACGTAATTTTCTTGCTGTTTACACTTTGCTCAAGTAGTAACGTACATGGATCACTTGGGATCGGATATGGTCAAGAACTTTCTGACAAGCTGGGAACTTCAAGGTCTTTGATTTTGGGGAGATCTCATTCCATTGCCTGTCAGGGCCACCAATTCAAGGACTTGATGAGTCCCAAGAGGCCCTGGTAGCTCCACAACAAGACAGGTCTATCTTGGTTGGACAGACCAGTCCCTATTGTTCCCAGAGCTGGAAGGAAGAGGGACTCTGTTGCCCTGTCTCTGCATGTAACCTGCTCCACACTGACTCATCTGTGGTGAAAGGAAAGGAAAGGAAAGGAAAGGAAAGGAAAGGAAAGGAACTTTACTTGCCAGATTTATATGAAAAACTAAATCAGACTCTGGAAAATGATGGACACAAACTCAAAGCATGTGCCAATCAGTGTTATCATACACATTAGGAATACTGCGTGGTCACATGCCCAACACACCTTACCATCCATTGTTTAGGACCCTCCATTTTTGCTTGGATTTATAAAATGTGTTTTTCAACCAGAAAAAAAAAAGTTGTTCTATGGTTATTCATATTTTTAGCTTATTAAAGATGAATGCAGAATACATTTGTTCTCCACAGCAATAAATTGAGCCTTTATTTATCAAGTGTATCCCAAACCCTGCACTCCTCGCCTCTTCCTACATCCATACAGCCCAAAGTCAACAGCAACACCACAAGCAGAGGGTAAAATTCACAAGGATATTTTAAGCAGAGACACTTTCCTGCAAGGCTAAAAAGCTCAACCTTTTATTTTCACTATTTCAGGGCAGAACTATCCAACCTGCCTGGCTGTCTTCACACCCCCTGACACTTAAGACATCATCTTTGGCTCACGAAAACAAAAAACAATTACAGGCCCTCCTCACTGTGAAATCAGTGCAATTCACACCCGTGTCAGCAGAAGCAAAAGTAAACCAGCGTGTTTAATTGCAGAGGTACAGCACTGTGGTAACGCTCAGCTTTCCATGTAAAGAGGCTGCAGGGGCAGGGAACACTGCAAAGAGCCTGATGATGGAGATACGGTGGACAGCGGGTCTAGTCAAGGGAACCAGAGGCCACCGTTCTGCTGAAGAGGCAGGAGGCACGACTGTGGAAGAGAGAGTGCAGGCTGGTGAGGAAGCAGTGCTGAAGCTCTAAACATCTCACAGCCTACCTGGACAACAACTACACAGCTGCAGCACGGCCAGAGCAGGCTACATTAGCAACAGCAGAGAAGTCATAACTGCAGATGTGAACCACAGCTGGAGCACGCAGACAGAATAAGGCATGAGATTTGCTTCTCAGATCTGCTGTTACCATTTACATGTGTGCACATCTCTCCCTGCTTTTGTTTCACGTTGCTATTTGGCCCTGCTGTGATGCTGCAGCATTGGTGAAAAAATCTCAGGAGACTTCAAACCTTGCAGAACTAGAGGCTGCGCAGTGCCCTGGACTCGAACCCCAGGCAAGCAACACACCGACAAAAACATGGTCATCAATGTTTTAACCATTAAGCTACTTACAAATACTGCATTTTCTGAGAAATCACTAGAATGTGGAGAGGATCAGTAGGGGCTGGAGGGTATCACAGGCCAGAAGACTTGCCTGCTGCATCCAGTTGAAAGTTGGGGAAAAATGCAGCCCTGTGAGGCAACAGTGGGAGCATGGCCGCCAGCAGCAGCCACTTCAGCGGGGATCAGCAGAATACTTGCCCCGCTGGATCACTGTTTGGAGAAACAGCTCATGTGCTGGGCCTTGTGCTGCCATGCCCTGATCATCCACTTCTGCTTCTGGGTCCCAAACTAAGGCTGGCATGTAGGATGTCCAGCAAATTACATCCCTAATGAGATAACTCCAAATCACTGACCACTTCCAAAAACCCTGGCAGGAAGTCTTTAGCTAACAGAAGCTAAAAGCCACTTCTATTTCAAAAGCACAGTGTTTCTCCTGGCTGAAGCATGAGGCTTTGCACAACTGTTAGGAGACAGGAATAAGCAGATTCTGAGCCAGACTGTGTCTGTCTGTCCAGTGCAGAGGCCACAGGCACATTCACAGGCACAATGGAGATGGCAAACATCTCCCAAGCTCTCTCCTCTAGGACAATTTATACAGATCAATATACATTACCAGAGGCATTATCAGCAATGTTCACAGAGCAAAAGATATTAACAAAAGCACTATTTTTCAGAGTTTCTCTTTTTCTGTGTGGAAATTCTGTCCAGGCAGATAGTCTAGGAGGACTCCTAGCATTTGTGAGTCCTGAGACACAGCTACCAAAGAGCATCCCAAACTCTTTCCAATCCAGTGTTGGACATGCCAACAGCACTCGCTTGACACTTACAGTAAGGCTGATGCTCCGAGGAAGCTACAAGCACACATACACATGCACTGTACCGTGAGTACTACACAGTGCAAGTCTGGCATGGCCCAGCAGCAGTGCACAGCTCCCTGGAAAACCCCAGTTAGTAACACGCAGAGCAGACCATGGCCCACACGACACATACACCTGCACCATTCCACACTTACACTGTCTCCTTCAGCGCCAAAGTCTTTACCTCCTCTCTGGAAATGTATTCCTTGGGAGGAATTTATAACCTGTATCTAATGCTGGGGTGAACATCCCCTGTTCAGCAGTCACTTAGGTGACTCTGGCAGGTTTTACTTTGCTGTTCATTTATCATTTGATTTCTCTAAAACAGAATGAAATGCAAAATTTTTTAACCAACAAATCTTCTGTTGGTTATGAGTCCTTGGTTTTGTGCACCGTTCACCAGCTTGTACATCAGTAAAAAGGCTCTCAGCTTCATACACATAGGTGTCACTGAATCCCTTCACCCAGTTTTGTAAGGTAAGAGTCTGGGACCGTGACACTAGAAAATGTAAAAAATCCACCATCAAAGGGCAAAGCCAGGAGCTGCTACTCGATGAGCACACGCCAATTCCTCCCGCAAAGCCCGAGCTCTCCAGAGCATAACATGAAGCTGCTCCAGGCCACGGTCACAGCGATGCTGCACAGAGACAGTGGCTTCTTTAAGTCATACCTCTGTTTTGTAAGAGTTGTACTACCAGTGAGGTGGGGGGTGCAGGAGTCAGAGAAAATGAAACACGACACAGTTTCTAATGAAGTGTTGTTATCCACTCAGCGTGCTTAGTGAGGTACCACTCATAGAAAAATAATGCAATACAGTTCAATATTTACATAAAACAAGGGGAGTAATTAGGGATCCACAGGCAACTCTTAACCTTAATCTGGGTTCCAAACTCCACAGCCCTAACATGGCTTTAGCATTTTGCTTTCCCCTGAAGGCACGGGCTCAACAGCTTCTCTGGGTACAATTGGTGCCTGCAGGACCCGTCACCCCAAGCCCTCAGAGCTCCACGGGTAAGAACCTCTATACAACCTTCAGGTTATGAACTACACAAGTGAAGATGTTTTGCAGTTGCACAACCCAAGCTAGCTTCTTGAAATCAACATTAAATCAAGCTGATGTACCACCTTAAAAGACACAAAATATCAAACTTCTAAAATCCCAAACACAGAAATAAATTTCCTTGGCTAATATGCTTATTGTAAAATTTACTGTATTTCTTGTGGTAAGTCAGCATGAAAAATACTTAGTAGAAAATGTGATGCATTTACTAAAAAAGGACACTGTTTCCATTTCTCTTATGTTATTAGAAAACCAGCATAGGAACTGATTTTAATTTGCTTTTACTAGAAGAGTCTGCTATTCATTGCTGGTTTAGAGATAATTGTATTTTCTACGTAACTGGAAACTTAAGATATCAGTGTCATTGCTCAATAAACTCTTTTTTTGCAATATTGCAGAGTTTTCTGTATTTAAAATGTCATTCACATTGAACAGCCCCTAATACTTACTTTTATATACTTTTAAATAAGTACACTGTTTGCATAAGAAGTGTTAAAAAAATAAAAATAAAAAAATAAAAAAGACAGTTCCTCAGGTTCTACCTGTCTGGAAAACTGTTCATGAAATTCATTATTTCACAGGAAACCAAATAATATCAGTCATTCTTTACAGTAAATTCATCTATATAGATAACTTTAGCAGTTCTTTAATTTCCACTCTATGACAACTTCGCAAAAACAATAGCACTGTAGAAATTGTAAATTACTTTTGCAACATTTAAATAAAGTACAAAATATTAAAACAACTTATTAACCCAGAGAATGGCACCACTTTTAGATAAAGCCACATTTTAAAATAAAGATTTCTACTATTTTGTTACTTCAAAGTAGATGATTTCTACTACATGTGAATGGTTCGCAAGAAAATGCCACTGTTGTATCCCCCCTATTTCCCAGAAATGGACTTGGAAAAATTTTCGGAGTTAAATGAAAGATCTCATTCAATAACAGAGACTCTGTGGCAATCAGTGGAAAAACTCCAGCTGGCTTTAGGATTTCAAGATCAGGCCCCTAGCTGCTTCAGCTTTCTAACATTTACATCACTAAAAGCATATGCTACTGCATTTTCCAATGAGCAGTATATATCTGAGAGCATATTATTCTTCTCTTTCAATCATAGTGTAACGTTTCTTCATAAAACATTCAAGTAACAACACTTCCTATAAAATAAAAGCATTCACGTTAAACCAAAAAACCAACAAAATAAACGAAAAGATGAAGGTTTACAGCCGCAGTGAAGCCATTTAATAAGATGGATTAACCCAATTTTATTTTTGAGCCCTTCGAACAATGAACAGTCTTGTAAGATACAATTGCCACTGGATGACATAACTACCAAAAAGGATAACATACTTTGGACTGTCTGACAGGTTTGGAAGATTATCTTTTCTAATGTAAACCTCCGGTCAAATCTCAGCAACAGTAAATCTAATAAACTTTACTAAGACCTTTAACTCTTTCTTGTGCCTTTGCTTGACTTTAAAATAGGTATCTTCTTTAAAGTTTTCACATATGTCTTCAAAATATATTTTTAATTTTACAATCCCTGGGTAACTTCCATGGATTTATTTGTTATTAATTAGTATCACGCATACTAACCAACACCCCACCTCAAATTGGTAGAGAATAACATGCAATTTCAAGTGAACATAAGTAGCATAGACGTTCCAGCAAGCAGGGTAAATAACCTGAAACAGTGCTGAAATAACATGTAGATTTAAACATCTCTATTAAATGCAACTTCTCTGAATTCTCTCAGTAATTCTCATACAGGGCTAAGAATATTTCTGCACAATCCATGCTGAAGTGGTCAACTTCTCTACAAAATCTGCCTCTTATTAAGAGTTAATCAACATTAGCATTAAATGTGCCCGTTTACAGTTAAAACTGATTATACTATCATCAGGTACTATCATAAAAATATTCTCTATAAAGCTGTTTGCACATACCACACACACAAAGACACTGACAGGGCAGCTTTTTATGTCTGTGTAGTAACGTGTTTGTAACACCACAAGAAGAGAAACGTACATGTTTTAATAACCCTTACCTTGCCCTCTGCACCTCCAGCTGGCTTGTCCACCTCCTCCTCCTGTGCTTTCTGCTCTCCACAAGAAGAACTAAGCAAAAGATTAATAAAAGGAGTTTTGCAAAATAAGGCATCTTGCTGGAAACGGGAGCCGGGCACTCGACACTCCAGTAACCTCCTGTAGCACAAGTCCCCCCGGGTTTGAACATTGAATCAACTCTAATTGCAGCGTCGCGCGTCCGTCGGCGATCAGTGGGAGCAACGCTGCTTTGCGATGTGATCGACAGGAGCTTCTCACTCAAAGCTTTTCCCTCATCACCGCTGAATGATTGGCCATTACTCACAAAGTTTGCCTCATCAAACATTTCCACTGGGTCCTAAAGGATATTTACTAAAGCTATTATATAAAAATCCGCAATTCTGCATGCCAGCTTTTTGCTCAATCCCCTAATCTCAGGACAGTGCTGTCCTCCTGCCAGACTCTGTAAAACCAGGCTGTTCCTTTTCATTAGGCTTTTCAGATTTTCTGTTCCTTTGCATGACATCTTTTTCAACTGGAAACCAACTGCTCATGCCACGTTTCAGACATTTGTATCATTGTAAAACGTACATCCTTTGATGGTTTTTTATAGCAGCTGAGATTTTATTTTTCCAATTTAGTCTGGTTCTTTACACTGCTGAAGATAAAAGATGAGCTAGTTTCACTGAAAAGGATGACTTTATTTATTGTTAACTTTTAAAGGTACTAAAACACAGTAACCCCCAAAGTGTCTGTACATGCAATAGACTTTTCATATAAATCAAGTCACCATTAATATTTATTTTTTCAAGTAGGTATTTGCACAACCAGGCATTTTAATTTTTTTAATAAAAGTTTGAAATAAAAATGAAAAGCTACAAAGCAGCTATTTCTTTAATCACAAGGAAGGCTTAAACTTGAGAAGAAACTTCTTTACAGTGAGGGTGATGGAGCACTGGAACAGGCTGCCCAGGGAGGTTGTGGAGTCTCCTTCTCTGGAGACATTCAAAACACGCCTGGACACCTTTCTATGTGATCTCATTTAGGTTCCTGCTCTGGCAGGGGGATTGGACTGGATGATCTTTCGAGGTCCCTTCCAATCCCTGATATTCTGTGAAGAGGCTGCTTTCAGAAACCATTTGCAGGGCAAGGCAGACTGCCTCTTTGCAGAAGACTTAGCTGCTTTAATAACCAGTGTGTGATACAGGGACAAGACTGAAAGTTTGTTTGGCACAGCAGTGAGGCTCTAGGAAAAGAAAAGCACATTCAGAGTAAAGCTTCCAGAGAAGCAAGTGGGTCAAAACCCAGCAAAACTGTGTTTTGGGTCAGACCTCTTCCAGAACGCTCCCGTGAGTCCAGGTTATTGTAAATGTTAAATAGAACAGGTATTCAGGCAACAAATGAACTTGGAAACACAGTACTCTAGCCTAGAGGCTATGGGAGCTGGAGAGGTTTTTTGGGGGTTTTGGTGTGTTGGGGTTTTTTGTTGTTTTGTGGAGTTTCTTTACAATTTCTAATGAAATAAATACACAAATTAGGTAAAAAACACATAAAATAATATATTGACAGCAAATTGTCCTGCAGTGGAACGTCCAAGTAACTGCTGAACTAGCTGAATAAACTACATAATTTTGTCTGAACTTCTTTAGGAAACTATTTTTTGATCTTTGTTCCACTGTACCTGCAAACAAGATTATCAACAATCCACATGAAGTGCTAAAACTCAAGTTTTTGTTTGTTTTGTCTGTTGTTTTTGTGGGTTTTTTTTTAATTTCCACATTCCCCTTAGACACACAATGGGTTTTCCTTATTTTAGAAGTTGTTATACCTACTTTAATGTCTCAAAACACCACTACATACTATATTTAACTAAATTTCGGAAAGTTGGAGGTGGCTTGATAAATGCTTGCTGAGAAACAGGATGAGAACCTTACTTAAGTCAGTGCTATCACATTTGACAGCAACAAAATGAAAGTTTACAATTAAATGTAAACATTTAAATCTGAAAAATACAAGAGGAAAATTATCCCACTGATTGCTTTCTTCTACTTCACTGCAATACTTAAACATTCACAGAAAAAACCTCTCAAACCCTAACAATTGTGGGGCTGTTGCTTGTTTATGTGATTTCACAGCATTCATGGATATTACCAATTGTTTACTTCTTTAATAAACTAATAATGCAGAAAGCCTCTGGGTCCAAGATTGATTTTAGGTTTAAAAAAACTGAAACAAACAAACAAAACCCAACAAAAGGCCATGTGATACCTGAAACACAACTGAAGACTGGCTTGAAACTCTTTATTACTACCAAGGTTTTAATAAATATTTCTCTTAAGCATGTTCATATATATGAGAGTTTAAGTATAATAAGGTTTAAATTTTCTCTAGTAAATAAAACCACATTTGAAACATTCAGTTCAACACATGACATATATTTCTGGTATAATTAAAAGACAATAGCTCTGGGTAAATAATTATATTACATATTTATAACTATTGCAAGAATAGACATGTTTTATATAATCTTCAAATTTAAAAAAACAAGATATACAATTGAGAGTACTAGAAGAGGATATTCAAATCTTGCAAAAGATTATCCAATCTTTCTTCCAAAAAATAAAAATAAAAATAATGCAAATAGTTTACTGGCCCCTTCTTTCCTCCCCTACTCCCTTCCCCTTTCACACACACAAAGCAGCATCACAACCAATTCGTATGTGTTCCCCCTCTAGAAATGTGTCATGGTAAATAAAAGTGGTTACAAAACCGTATCTTCTCTAAATTAAGAGTTCACTGGACACAAACACGTAGTAGTGTTTCATTTTAGAATTCCTTCTCCAACGTCAATTCTGATACTAACTTAGATGGGGTAATTAATTGCATTTACATTCCATAAACAAGTGAATCAGTCACTTTTTTTTTAATTGCCTTTTTCTAGTTGATAAATTACTCAAATTGATTCCCCTCCCACATGCCTTAATGTTACTATTCCACTGCACTGTTTCTCCAAGTACCTAGTCGGCACTCGATTAACACTTGTAGTTAAATGTCCAGCTTTGCTTTTCTTACAAGTAATGTATCTGTAGGTACATTAACATTCATGAGGATTTAAGTGTAAATACAAAAAGTAATCTTTGTAAACAGTTCCATGTCATACCCAATACAGAATGTTTAACGAAGCAGTCAAGTCACTGCTGTTACAACATAAATAACCTTATAACTCAAATATATACTCATTAGCCAAACATATTCTACGAAATATGAGAGCTGCCAATGCAAAAGTCAGGAGGACGATCAGAACAGTGGATCCAGTGTGGTTCATGTTAACTCTTGGTTGCTGTACCCGATTAAAGTCAGTTGAAGATGGAGCCCGTCTCTGACTCTGCTGCTGGGCACGGCGCTGCCGAGGACTCAGAGATGTGTTAGTGGACACAGGTGGAGTATGCTCCTGACTGGTCGCTGCACTGCTGTTCTGAGTTTCAGACTGAAAAGGAAATATAAAGAGATGTGAGACAAGACAGTGCATAAGATTAGCAAGGAATAATATCATCAGGACTAAAAGGTCCTCTTCAGATAACGGCTGATACTTGAAAGCCTGATAATACATGTCACTACTAATTACAAGATTGTTACAGCCATCATTTTTGTCCATGTGCCATCTTGAGAAGTCTATTTCAAGCTGCAAATTAGCAGTCCTAAGGACAAGAAAAGTCTGAAGAAAGTCCATCAAACAACATTTGAATTCTAGATTGGTTTAAAATCAAGATATTTCAAATATCTTTGTCTAGGATTTGCTTAACTCTTTGCAGTTCAAGAATTCTTTAATAATCCTCCAGATAGTTAAGTCTCCAGGGATTTGTAATGTCCCTGGAGGGGAGGGCAAGAAAGGAAGGAGGGAAGTCCAGAGAACTGTAACTAAGCAATGCTGCACTGCTTCTTGTGGATAGCTGGGTCCAATAGTCTGTTCTCATCACCACCACCAACGCTGAAAAAAACCAAAACAAAAACCCCAAACACAAACCACCCGAGCGATTCCAGCAGGAATTACTGAGCACTGTACTTCGCCTGCACAAACCTGTTGCCCTCTACTGGTGAAACGTTGGTCTACCATCACATGGATTGAAAAAATAAACACTGGCAGCGGGTGTTCAGCTCAGGAGAGCATTATTCTAAAGAAAAGAATTTTTTCAGTTTGTGAGGCTGAAACTACAGGTTCTGATATTCCACTTGTCTAATCCTGCTTGCAATACTAAAAAGCTCACACTTACAACGTTTTAATATTAAAATTGTGACACAGCACAGTTGTTGGAAATTAAAATTTAACCTTGTCAAAATGCTTTAAGCATTTTTTAAAAAAAAGTAGCTCTGACAAAAAGGCTTTTTTTTTTTGAAGTCTTCTTTTCACTTCTCAGAACAGTTTGCAGGTATTCCCACTTAAAGCAACCTGCAGCTACTTTCCAGAGTTAGCTTTCCCCCTCCTACCCCCTTTTTCTAAAAGATTACCAATACAGCAGGTAAAAATAGAGTTCCAGACATTTTATATTTGCTTCCAAGCAAAACCCTTTTAATGGGCACAATATCCATAACCCTAAGCACTGCTTTAGCCAGCTACTATACCCACAAAAGATATGATTTCCACATGGCCAGATAGGGAATGTCCTCAACTGTGTATCGGCTTTGATGATTCACAAGACAGTAAGCTGTACTTGGTCCCATGACTCTTTGGACACGTATTCTGCATGTGGGAGAATCATCTCTAAATTTTCACCTAGTCAGTGATTTGACTAGCCCAGAGAAGAGACCTTCCTTTCCTACCTCCTCATCATTAGAATTTCCCATTGCTTGTTACCAGCAAGGAATTACTGATGTAATCACCACATTTGACAACTTGCCTGTTTACACAGGTTTCTTGCCTAAGCAAGCAAGCACCTTGGGTAACTTCAAAGAAAAATGTTTTTAAAAGATTTCTTTTATCAGCAGAGACAGCCAAGAACACCACGAGCAGCTTGCCATGATTTACACTACACTGCAGAAGAAAGTAATTCTGCTTCATACTGAACCCATTTGAAAGCTCCTCCTGCCAAGGAAAATAAAGACTCAGGGAAGCTGAGCCTTTGAAAATGAAGTTCCTAGATTCATCTACACTCGCATATTTCAGAAGGGGAGAGGGAGTGAGGTGAATTCAGG